AGTTTATCGTCAATTTTGTCAAAATAAAAGAAAAAGAATATATATAATATATTTATAAGTTATTTTTCATTTATATTTAAGTTATTTTTCAAATTTCACGTTATTTTCGATGACGTAGATTCATCTTTCGGACAAATATTGGAACAGAAAACAGGATAAGCGATTTTGATGAAAGATGAATTTAAATATCACAGACACTAAATAATTGTTACGTATAATAATTTATTAAGGATAATAGCACCTTACTAACGGTGAATGCTGTCGTCTTTGATTATCAGTTCTACGAAGCATAACGAAGCATCTATCTTCCCCACTTAATAGAATGACGTAGTTCTTTTAAGACGAAAGCTCATGCGTTTAACGATCGAAAGGGATTATCAGCAAAACCTCCGATATCGTATATCGGTACGACCTTCTTCAAACCTATTATTTCTACGAAACGTCCAACTCGTTTAACTTTCTTCATACTGCATTTGACGAAGGACCAATATCATTATCCAAGTTTAATTAGTAAACGATTCAAGTGAAAGTACGTGTTGGTGCTTTTAATTCTTATCGAATTCAGTTCGAAGAAATCTTTTATAGGTAGAAATTTGTTTAAATAATGAATTGTTCGAATAAATCACCGTTCTCTCTCTTTCTCTCTCTCTCTCTCTCTCTCTCTCTCTCTCTCTCTCTCTCTGGTAGAAAAAAAAGAAGTGAAGAAAAAAGCTATTAAACACTATCTTCTGTGCTTTCACGAGAACTGAAAAATATCTATCCGTTTAACACGTAGAAAGTCGTAAGATAAATAAATTGGCGATTGTTGTCTTTCCTTTTTATTTTTATTCTTTTTTTTTTTTTTTTACTCACGATGGAAGAACGACAACAACTAGAGTCAGAGAAAAGAGTTGGAAAGAGCCAACTATATCGGATAACAAACTATAAAAATAAATCTAAGTTAGACGAATAATCGAGATCAGTATGCTGGTGTTTCTTGTATGCAAAATCAAATTGTCTTTCTNCTTCTGTGCTTTCACGAGAACTGAAAAATATCTATCCGTTTAACACGTAGAAAGTCGTAAGATAAATAAATTGGCGATTGTTGTCTTTCCTTTTTTTTTTTTTTTTTTTTTTTTTTTTTTTTTAATAAAAATAGTAGATCGAAATACAATAAATGTACAACAGTAGACCTTGGTTAACCAACGTGATCGGATAACAAACTATAAAAATAAATCTAAGTTAGACGAATAATCGAGATCAGTATGCTGGTGTTTCTTGTATGCAAAATCAAATTGTCTTTCTCGTTTCTCACGGAACTCACGCAATCGGAAGTAAGAAAGGGAATAGGGTTGAGAGTTGCATCGATCGCAAAGCATTTCTGCTGGGTTCACGCGCATTATAGTGGCTTGTGCGATAGCTCTTAATGGTATTATATCAAGCTCTAATACAAAACGGCTTTTGGGGTCGTTGGCCAGACGAGTTGGGTCTATATTATTTAATCGTGAGACGTTTTAGTCACGTTTCGTCACGTAATTGACATTTGTACGAGTAAAAATATAAACTTTTAAACGTTTAAAAATAATCTTAACGATGTTAATATTTAATTTATTTGCAAAAAAAAAAATTGCAACGATCAGCGAGGATAAAGTGAAAAAAGGAAATTTATTTTAACTACTCGTATATTTCAATCCTTTGCACTCGAAATTTCTTTTTCATTCATACTACCAGCAACTCAAAACAATTTCAATAGAAAAATTATATTCAAATATTATAAATAAATGATATATGCGTATTAAAAAAAAAGTCATAGTTTATATGTTGTCAACTAAATTGAATTTTTCTTTTTTTTCATTTTTTGTATTTATTGTCTTCATTGTCTCCCCGGAGTACAAAAGGTTAATATTGCATTTGTTATAATTGAATAAGAAAATTCTGGACATTATAATTAGCTCATCTCAATTTTGACATTTTATCGTAAATTAAAAAATAAAAACAAATTGTTCTATACAAAGAAATATTTATAAAAAAAAAAGAGATTTTATCCTCTTCAAGAAGAAGTCATCCTCTTTCCCAATCTTAAAAGATGTACAAAGATTAACTGGATCTGTGAGAGTTACGGTAGCATTATAAAGAAGCGTGATATTAATCGGTGTATATTAATCGAAGGGAAAGGGTAATTCGATGAAGATATATCAGCAGCACGTTTTATCCTTCTTGTCTCACGTGTCTGCTCGAAGATTTGGCAGACGATAGGCTGTAAGTATAAAAAGAGAGAGGGAGAGAGAATGAAAGTGTCGGATATCTCCAAGCGATTATCTCTAAGTAGTCTCGAAAGGTAATTCGATTTTTTCATCTTTTTTCTTTTATTTTTATTTTATTCTATTTCCTCCCCTCTTTCCTCTTTTTTATTCCTTCGAAAGACGAAACCCCCTCGAAGTCAGAGGGGTAAACGAATGGCGACGGCTCTTGGTAAGTTGCACGTGCCACCCTGATCGGAATCTTAACGTGACGCTAGCGTGAGCCTTATCTTCTTCAACAAAACTGGTCGCCTCGAGCACCCAACGAGCCTCTCTGAACTTGTTTGGAATAAGAAAAAGAAAAAGAGAGAGAGAAAGAGAGAAGCTTTATTTCACATGGACTTTTACACATTCATACTAAGGTTGAGGCTAACCATCTCGTTACAATATTTCAATCTTCAAGGCCCTTTTCTATAACGTTAATCACACGCAACGGTACCTGTATCGCGGAAATTCAAGTACATAATTGTCCTACGTATATTACGTGTGATACACTGAAATATACCAAACTCATATAGAGATAACAATGTAACTACATTTGTTTAAGTTATAATATTCGTTCGATGTAATAAATTAATATTATTATTATAAATAAAAAGAAATTATTAATAAATTTGTGGGTGTACATGTTCACTGAAAATCAAATTGTTGTCCAAGGTACTTTCGTCGATACGATGAGTTTTATCGAAACAGTTGTTTAAAGTATAGAAAAGAAGAAGAGTATTTGAAGTAACCACGATTGAAAACTAAGTTTATTGGAATTGGAATAAAATAAGAGAAAATGATGTGCAATTGGAGAGAGAGATAGAAAGGGAGTGCAGAAACGATGCAAGTTTCTTAGTGATTTACAATGTTCTCTATACTCTTTCTATCTTTTTCAAGGAACTGTATCGTTTCGTAAGAGAGATAACGGAATCGTCGAGTTCACGGAAGCTGATAATAAATCGAGAAAAAGAGAGTTTAAATGTACCAATACCCTCTTCCTGGTACGAGGATGAGTCCTACATTCGTTACTTGCTCCACGAAAACTGCAGTTGAAGAATTTGAAAAATGTGTGTTAAGGGATAGGGTGGAGAATGACTTACTTGGCAAAAGTATTTTCTACTTATTCTTCTACCTTTTTTTTTGCCAAAATCCTTCATCACAAGGTTGACCCAATACTTGTCGCAATGTTATCCCCTTCTTCAAATGTGACCTTGGAAAAAAAACAGTCCTTTCGATTTTTTAAATGACTCGGCTTATCTTTTTTAAATGATCTTTCTCTCTCTTTCTTATCCTCAGACCAAATTGAAAGAATTTATGATTCCTATTTGACTCTATGTTCCCAATTAGACATGAGAATATTTTTCTCGAGTTGATATTTTGAAAAAATAAAAAAAGAAAAAACAAATATTTTTCTCTCTAATTCTCTTTTTTTAAGGAGATGTTTAAAAAAAAATTATTAATTAACAACACATCAACGGGAATGGTAAAAATAAGATGATCGATAATCACTGAAACCCCTTAAAACGTTTTCCCAATAGTGAATATTCGAAAGTAACATTCGTTCATCTTCCTTCCTCCTTCCTCTTTCTCTTTCTTTCTCTATCTATACTCGAACTCTCATGGGATAGTTAAAATCGATTTAAACCTTTCAACGAGTGGTGAAAATTCAATTTTTATTAAAACCCTCGTTCGCTTACAAACACGATCCCAATCTAGCCCTGGAAGCTGGGATGTTAATAGAACTCGTATGAAAAAAAAGAAATAAAAAAACGAAAAATGATATTAAAGATTCTCTTTCATCCTTCGTTTAATATCAGAAGATTTTCTAATTCTTGCGAGCAGGGATCTTTTAAATACTCTTCAACTTTTGATTTCCATCAACATCTTTTTCTCTCTCTTTCTCTCTATCTCTTTCTCTCGCTTGAAAAATTACCTAAAATGTTTATATATATATATTACGTCGAGTGGTATACCTTTGACATTTGACGCTACCAACGAGATGTTTAACAACTTCCGAGCTACGTAAATAATTCGAGACACTTTGATAAAGGAACGAGAGGCTAGAAATTTTTCAAGAAACTCATTAACAGCTTGCTAGTCGCAATGCGTCGTCGTCTTCGTCTTCTTCTTCTTCTTCTTAATGTCAGGATGAAAAGCTTAAATATTTCTCATCCTCTCTCTCTCTCTCTCTCTCTCTCTTTGTCTTTTTGGTTTTTTTTTTTATTCTTAGTGAATGAATTTAATAAAACAAAAATTAAAGAAACAACTTAACTTTACAATTAGCTTTTTAATAGATGATACAGAAATTTTAGGTTGAACGATAATAACGTTATTCTTGAGTAATTGAACCACCCTCACAACGTTCTCCAGCTTCTTCTGGCTTCTCTTTCTCTCCTTCGCTCTCATTCTTATTATCTATCTTCTCACCCCAATATATCCAGACACCTCCTATTATCTTCCTTAGTCACATCTCCGTTAAACGTCTTATCATGGTTCATCGTCAACGTGAATTACACCGCAAATTCTAATATCTCGAGACTTCCTCTCTTTCCTCCCCCCCCCCACTAACACATGCACAAACCTAAAAGGATTCTCTTGGATGATAGAACACTAAGAAGCGAAACTGATTGGAGTTAATGAACACGGACAATGATCGTCAGGGTTGAAAATTAAATATTAAAACATATTTTGTTGTTGTTTTTTTTTTGTACAGTTTCGATTCTTTTTATAACTCACGATTTTATGATGAAGATGTTGAAGTTCTCTCTCGGTGACTCTTCTACGTGAAAGCTCGCGTTGTTCTCGTCTGTATTGACTGTACTTGTAAAAAAGATACATTCCAGGAAGCGCAAGGACAACCAATGGCTTCATCAATCCAGCTCGACTGCTCGGTCCACGTACACGAGGTTCAGGTGGTTCGTCCAATTCACCTAATTGTCCGGCACCTTCGGCCACGTCCGGTACTGCTGCACCGGCTGCTGGCATCTTGTCTTTCCTAAAAAAAAAAAAAAAAAAATATAAAAATAGAAACAAATTCAACACAAAAAACACGATGAGTTGTATTCATCAAATCGTTTGATCATCAAACGATAAAACATGAAATACAATGATTCGTATCGTCAAAACAACGAATGAGAACAAAACGGAAAAAAGGGAAAAAATAATGAAAATATTCTTTGTCCGGGAATAATCGAAATACGGTAAAAATTTTCTTTGATGTATCGACGAGATCTAACGAGCCGACGAAAATGAAAATCGTTGCTCGCATAAGGTTTTTTTCCCCGTTTTCTGCTAGGGTTCACAAAACGATCAGATGGTTTTAGGTCGGCTAGAGACGGCTATTGGTTATTGGTTTCCCATCAAACCGTTTTTTACAGTTTCTTTCAGTGCATGAGTGAAAGAGAAAAAAAATAAAAAGAGAGAGGGAGAGCGTTGTCACACGCCAGGCGGCCTTCCAAACGTATTCGGAGCACGACATTTTTCCCACCTGACGTTTTCAACCCTCTCTCTTACTCTCTTTCTCTCTCTCTCTCTCTCTTCTCTTTTCTTCTGTACCCCTGTCAGCATCATTTCTCGATATTTATAATCCTCGTTAACGTCCTTCCGAATGGCACTCGGCCGTAGCTTTCGATCGAAAACGTCGTCTACACTACTCTACCACCGACTTTCCGGATTGTATCTTTTCCAAGCTATTGCAATAATGTTTCGATTGAATATGTCAACTTACGTGACGTAATAAATTCTTGATAATCTATCGTAATTTTAATATCCGTTAAGAAAAATTTTAAAATTGAATAAATATCAATCTATGTAAATAATAATTAAAATCCATTAGATACGATTAATCGTACGTTAAACGTTTTAATAATATTACTTTTGATATGGTACATGTACTTTCACTTTTTTCTCCGATAAAAGAAAGTTAAAAATCTCGTGAAAAGAAAGAGAGAGAGAGTTAGGATCGTCGAACTATTCGAAGAATCAACGACAAAAGGAGAAGATACGTTGTATCGTTCAGACATCGAACAGATAGGAGTGGACTCGAAGTGACGTACCCTTTCCCTCTCGTCCCTCTGATCTTCCGTGACTTCAATGAAATTTCGTAATCTACTTGGAGGTCGTTCACCGACTATATTTAATTCAAGCGTCTACTCGCCGTTCTATTCTTAACCGTCCGCTCTAGAAATAAGCGCGGACACCGCTTCGCATCACGACCCACGTTTCCCTCCCCCTTTTACTCCGCCCCTCGGCAAACCTACCCTCTTTACTCACAAACACAAACACACACATACATACATACACATACACATCTTCTCTCTTTCTCTTATATTTTCCTTCTTATATATTCCTCTTATTCGAACCCCGGTGGATGCAGCAAAAACATTGTCGCATTTGGTGTCACACAACTAACATGTATGACCATATACGAGAGCTACTTTTATACATTGTCAACGAAAAGTATCCTTCGTGATTCATAATTCAACAAGGAGAATTCTACCTTGCTTGTGCATCCTACGACTTTATTTTCTATTATTTTATTTTCCTCTCTTCATTTTTGCCAAGTAACCAAATTTACATTTTTTCGTTCTTTTTTAGTAAACTTTCATAACAATTTTGTTCTCGACATGATTTTATTTGTAATATAATTGAATGGAAAAAAAGAAAAATTCAACTTTATAATTAGATAAACGTTAAAAGCAAGCATAGTTGAAATTAATTAAAAGTAGATAGAATAGAAAAGTTAATCTCGTTGTAAATTCATTTTTGAAAACAATTTATCCAGAAGGAACGATGGTAACGAAATGGACAATGGACGATCATTGTTTAACGGTGGCAACGTTTCGGTACATCGATGGAGCAGCAATTTAAAAAGGAAGGGCAAACATGAAACACGATATAGGCTTGGCAGGGACGATAATAAACGATAGAGATACGCGAGATGCGTAAACGAACGTATACACATATACTCACATGTATACACATATTATATATATATATATATATATATATATATAAGCTTTCTCAAGGGCTCGACATGTTATCACCTAAAGGAAAGGTAGGTAATATATTATCGGAAATGAATCGATATATCGACTCGTTGTGCACTTCGCATTTTGCCATCTCGGAGATACCTACACCACCTGAGGGATTTCAAGATGTATTCCCAAGGACAAGGTCGATCGAGCAAACACCTTTTAAAACGATTTCTATCTAAATTTTATTCTAAATTAGACAAAAACAAAAGAAAACGGAAAAAGAAGGAAATCATTTTTGTCAACACTACATTACAAATAAATCGAGATCGAATCGAAACGATCGATTAAATCTTTCCGTTATAATTTCACGAGTATTTGATTAATGAAAAAGAAACTAAATAAGATTTATTATGAAATTACGGATGAGAATCAACAAGATTGATTGATTAATGTAAGGTATGTATAGCGATCATGAGAGAGGGAGTGGGGTGGTGGGGGATTGAAATAATACATATATCTGTTATCGTTAAGGTCTAGAACGATCCGGTGGCACCGGACGTATGCGTTTCGCCTTGACACAGCGTAATGGCGGTCGCAGGAACAAGGACGCTCAACGCGTCAGGATAACATCGTCCCGCCGATGCACTAGGCTACGGCCAAGTACACGTCCTGACTTTCTATTTTTATGCCTTTTCCACTTGCAAGTTAAGTTCGATCGGTGTGTCTCTCTCTTTCTCTCTCTTTTTCTCTTTTTATCTATCTCTCTCTCTCTTTCTCTTTCATGATTACAATCAATCTTTTCTTATACTTTTACTTTATTACTCGTTAATAAAATCGGATAAATGGATTCTCTTAATCGTCATCATTTTAATCTATCCAATTAAAAATTTTCTTCCTTTTTTTTTTTTTGTTTGTTTATTTAAACGACCAAGATCGATAAAATTGGCGCGAAAAAGTGAACAAAAAAAGAATTGAAGTCAAACGGGTTCAACGAAGATCTTCGTTTTTTCTGTTTTTTTTTCTTTTTTCATAAAACAATAATCCGTCATTGACGTTTCTACGAATCGAACGAAAAGTCAAATCCGAGTAAAGTCGATGGACCCGACGATATTTACGTTCGAGTCGATGCACTTCGATATATGTTTGGAATATATATTAGGACGAACTAATGAAGAATTTAGTGTAAAAAAAATAAAAAAAGAATTGCACGAGAGAGAAGTACGAATTAGAAACAAACAAGCAAAAAAATGTAAAAGAGTTAACTTGTAAAGTTTTAACGTATTTTAAGTTAAGGTAGTATAATGATTAGAAGTACGAATGATCGATAAGGATGATAAAGTAACATATAGAACACTGTGCAAGTTTGTATTTACCGAACGACCAAGTGCAAGGTATTAATCATACATATATATATCATAATAATAACTACACATTTGTATGCGTAGGTGTATGGTATGATATATAATACAATACTTCATCAACAATAGATACGAATAAATATTTAACAAAGATCTATTAAATCTTTTTCCCGCCAAGTAAAATACCAGAGAACACACATGTACGTTTTACATGCATACAAATGTTTTCCTACGAATGCAATCCGTGTTATATGAGAGGAAACATGAGTCTCCCGAGATGAGAATCATCGCTTGTGCGCGCCCATAGGTGCGTACTCGCGCCCTCATCACAAACCATGTTCTCTCTTTTCGATTATACATATACGTTTAATTAAAATACAAGATTAATGCATCAAAGTTATTGTAATTAAATAGAGAAAGAAGAGGATGTACTGCATTTCGCATTCAATCTGTCACTGTCTCTCTTTTTCTAGCACGTGTATACATGGATTAGTGTATACTTCTCGAAAAGATTGAAATGAAGAAAATAGTAAGAAAGAGAAAGAGAGAGAAAGAGAAAGATAATAGAAAAGGATAAAAGTCTCACTTACGTTTCCTTAGTATCTTCGTGGTTTCTCTTGTCGTCGAAGATTCGGGAAGAAGCTGTGTGACGTTCAATAAAACTCGTCGGTGGAATCACCAATGTAAAAGCTCAAACGAAGATAGATAAAGAAACAACAACGAGGGTGAATTAGAAATAAAATGAGACAGCGAGAGAACGAACGAACGAATGAACGAACGAGAAAAGGATAAGGGTTAACAAAGGTTGATAAAAAGAGGAGCAATAAAGAAAGAAAGAAAGAAAAAGAGAGAAATAGAGAGAGAGAGAAAGAGAGAGAGAGAAACGCGAGAGGTCGATCCCTCCTCGTGGTCTCTCAAGCGAGAAGGAAGAAGAACATCGCCGGTCGGGCCGCAACTGACCTGGCGGGAGACCGGCGGCGGCTGCACTGCGCGCCTGCAACCAGGCAACCCGTGCACAGCCGTGCTACTTCGTCTCGGTTCGTATTAGTTCGGTCAATTTCGAGAAAGCTCGTACAACCTCGGCCGTTGACGCGTTCTATTCGCTCGATTCCGGCGCTTATTCCGAGGCCGTTCGAACTCGGCCGAGTTGAAACGAATTTAACCGAAGGGGAAGTTGGGGGAAGATAGCGATTGTGAGCGAGCGAGCGCCTGCGTGACGCAATGCGTGATACACCACAGACATGGTCGAGCGATCGAAGCTGTAGTGCCGGCGTGCTGGCCGGGCAGCCACTGAGAGATGCACACGATGGGTGACGCTGATTCTCTTCCTGATCCTACCGACTCTCTACTACTGCCACCGCCGCCACACAACTCTGCTTTTTACCTCTGCTACTGCTGCTGCTGCTACTGCTGCTGCTGCTACTGCTGCTGCTGCTGCTGCTGCTGCTCGAGAAGGATCGATAAAAGGAGGAGGGACTCCAAGTGCGACATGTAGAAAGAGAAAGAGAGAGCGAGAGTGGTATCTGGGAGATGAAGAAACGAGAAACGCGTTTATCCTCTTCGTCCTTTTTCTTCATTCTTCACGATATATCCTACCTTACCAGAATTAGCATCAGCGGCAGCACCAGCAGCAGCAACAGCGGCCGTACCACTATCATCATCTCAACGACCACCATTTTCATATCACTTTTTGTCTTTTTTCTTTTTTTCTCATTCAATCTCCTCTCTCTTTCTCTCTCTCTTCTCCAATTCCGTTTTTCATCCCTACGCCTTTCTATACTCAACTTTCCTTGCATCGACGTATGAACCGATATCGAGGTTATTGAACCCTTCCCTAAGAAGAATACCAGATAAATGTTCCATTTCCCTTTTTCCTTCTTTCTTTCTCTTTTTTTGATCTTTATTTTTCTCTTACCCTATCCGATCATTGTCAATTGTTCATCGTTGCTATGACGAAAGATGAAACTTCGTCATGTATCAGAAACTAGTTTGCGTATGTAAGAAAGTGTTGCGTTGTGTTAGGTACTAAACTAACAAAGGGAAGAGACGCTGAAAGGGAAAATATTGAAGAGGTAATTCGAGCTAAAGGGCAATTGGATAACGTGGACACAAACAATTCTTGTATAATAGCACTTCAATACGTTCTTCTTACCAAGTGGAACGCTTTTGTAAAGAAGCATGAATAAGTGGCGACGCCTTTAACGTGTTAAGAGAGTTTCCTATATCTTTTTTGTATCCTTTTTATACAAACTCATTTTGATAGTTGACTAATTATATTTATATAAAAGTTAGGTCAAATTATTTGAAAGCATTTATGAACTTTGTAGAAATTTAGAAAAACAATATGATAATATCGATCTCTCATAATTCGAAAAGATCTTTAAGAATCGTATCATTACATAAAGGTGCGACAATTGAATTCTTTTTCTTTTTTCTTTAACAATCATTCCTCTCTTTCTCTCTTTTTCTCTCTCTCTGTCTCTCTCTCTCTCTCTCTCTCTCTCTCTCCCATTTTTTTCTCGTCAAAATAACGAGGCACCCGACAAAGCTGCAGTGGTTCTTATGCCACGAGGAGGACCGTAGCGAAGAAGTGTCGTTACGTAATAATACCTCGGAAAATTCAGCAGTGTTACGTTGGTAACGCTCGTAGTCCGTTCTGATAGGGCGCCAGAAACAAGCAATTTAGTCCTCTATCTTTTTTCTCTTTCTCTCTCTTTTTTTCTTTTTTTCTTTTTTTCTTTTTTTCTTTTCTCTTTTCTTCGAGTACGAGGACCCCTCGAAAGTACACTACTCCTAGTTCCTCTTTCCTCTTCTTTCACCTTCTTATTTTTATCGTCTTTCCTCTTATCTATCTTTTCCAATTCTCATGGGAATCGCATGAAAAGAAAATCGAAAGGCTTTTGAAAGGAAGCATTTTTAGCATGGAATATATCGACCGGTTTATCGTCCGGTTGAACATTCTAATCTCGTAACTAATTTCTTGTCGTCTAAAAATAGGAGAATATTTTTTTCAAATCTCATATATGCATATGTTTATTTTACATTTTACATTCAATACCAAATATTATGATTTAATTAAATCAAAGAATTTTTTTTTTTTTAACAAAACTATTCTTTTGTTTTTTAACGATGAGAAGGAGTTTAAAAAAGGAATTTTCTTGCTTTGTTTTCTTTTTGTTTTCAAATAAACAATCGCGTAGGAGGAAAAACACGTATATATACATATATATGGTGAGAAAGATCGATTACAATGCTACAGGAGAAAAAGAATGGACGTTTTATTCAAGCTGCGAAAAGGAGAAATGATCTTTGAATCGTAGCCAGAAAATACAATCGGCTCACAGCTGCTCATTTTTTTGTTTTTTTTTCTACCCCGGAGTTAGTTTCGACCCGCTTCCATTGCTCGATTCCAGTGACGTCATTGTGTAAAACGTCAGATCAATGGTCTCCAGGGGTTGCTGGCATCGCTCTTTACCCTTACGCGTACCGAGGAAGTCAAGAAAAGGAGCCACGGATCCCACCAAACGACCCACGCTAACATATGGATCTTTAAAGGGCGGTTCGATGCTGACCTACTCCCTTAAATTACCTTCGAGACACGTTCGAAATCTCTACGGCAAAATGCCATACTCGTTTTAAATAAAAATAATTGCTGCTCTTCTTCGATCCATTTTTTCCTTTTTTCTCTTTTTACACTCTATTTTATTTCGGTTAATTGAAATCATTTTTTTCTTTTTGAATTAACAATTAACGGATGTTTTATTCAAAATTCGTGAAAGCATACGTACTTGTTAAAAATTGATAATGGTACTAAATATTAAATTCGACACGAGCGATTATTTAAAATGAAAAAAAGAACAAAATTACTTTTCAAATGATTTAATAAACCGCTCATTTTTAATCATTTCTGCAAATATCTGTACTAGTTTATAACATAATAATAACGATACTAAATCTATTTGTTTTTCCATTATACATACGTAAGTACATCGATACTTATTAAACAATATTCGTTAATCGTTTTATCGAAACTTTGATTAATATCGATATTTAAATATCTAATCATTCTATCGTTAATATTAAAATTATATTTAAATAATAGTAAATAGCGTTAAAGATAAATTAATATAAATTTTATAACGTGTTTCGTTTGAAAATAAAATGAGATTTTGTATGGATTTTTTATTTTACAGTTAATTTTCAAACATCGTAGCTAATAAAAAAGAAAATAAGGGATAATGTGGGGGAGTAAAGCAAACACAACTCAAATGTCATCAGAAGAGGTCTATTTAAACGTTCTAGTGGTAACACATCGTTCAATCTACTCATTTCAATCCCACGGGTACGTTGTGTGGATACATTTATCGTGATTCGACGAAAGTAACCGCAGGTTATTATCGAATAATCACAAAAACTAGAAGATCTTATCGATAGAACAAGTCTAACGTACTCAAGTCAAATTCAATTCATATATACTCGATACTTGAGATCGAAAAGGAACGAATTTCTATTCGTTATAAAAAGTAGAATTCACTGCTGCTATTCTCCAACTGACTATGAGTTTCTCGTTAGTGATTGAGTATACGCGATAATGCGGCTAAAAATTGTTCATTAAGTTCATTCAAAGTTAAATCAAATGTTAATAATTGGTATTGTTAATAGTTGATTTATAAAGGTTTGGAATTTTTTTTATAAATGTACTTTCACCATTTGTTTTTTTTTTTTCAATTCGTATGAGTCTCGAAAAATGGGAAAAAAATAGAATAGATGAGCTATTAAACAAAAAAAAAACAAAAAGAACAACTTTTTTACTCTTCATACGATTATCTTTTTAATGAATGTTAACGATAAACGATAATAATTTAAAATATTGATTTATTTATTTATATTCGTAAGAATATTGAGAAGCGCGATAAGGTAATGTAATATGAACTAAACCAAAAAGGCAGAAAAATAAAATGTAACAAAATGAAGAAATAGGGGAAGAAAGAGGGTAGAAAGAAGGAAGAAAATAGAGGACGATGACACGTTTCTCGAAAGGATTCGAAGGATGATCCATCCGTGGTGTGTTTCGTTCGTGGGCTGAGCGTCACTGCATGACGTCACAGAAAGTTCAATGACGTCACGAGCCGTTCGATACGCCAGCATGGGAGCTTGGAGTGGGGATGCACGGTTTACCGAGGAAACGAGAGAGAGAGAGAAAGAAAGAGAGAGAGAGAGAGATAAAGATAAAGAAGGAAAAGAAGGAGGAGAAGAAAAAGATAGGGAAGTACAAGAGATGATACTGTGCGCACGATGGAAAAAAATGGATGATGCTTCGAGGGGTGGATTACTAAAAAAAAAAAAAGAGAAAAAAGGTTAGAGTAGGAAGAATTCGGGGGAAAAAGAAGTGGAAACCTTTGGTTAAGTAGTGGAACCAAAAAAAAGTGGGGAGAAGAAGTAGAAGAGGTACGGAACGAGCAACTTTTCACGCCACTGTGGGTGAATGTTACTATCACAGATGCAGATCGGAGATCAAAAGAACGAGGCCGACGAAAATCTACCACGCATTGTCGAACACTCTTTGCGAATACATATACGTATACACGACGTCGTTTACATGTATGGTGTACATTCATATACATATATACATGTATACACATATATATGAATACTCATGTATAAAAATACATGACGCTTCGTCAAGCTGGCACACCGATGACAAAACTTCAAAATGGAACTCGGCTAGCTTTTTAATCGAGCCTCTCAATCGGAGAATTTTTAATAACCCAGATGTGACACGCTATCGGGAGAGGTTCGTTTCACTCCCCCTCCTTCCTCCCCTTTCTTCTTTTTCTTCCTCTCTCTCTCTCTCTCTCTCTCTTTCTTTTTCTCTTATTTCGTTTCACAGTCGATGAAAATCTTTTCACGAAGATAATAAAAAAAAAATATTCCTCCCTGTTAACCGACATTCGAAAAGAAATTGGAGTTAGTTCGACCAACGAGATAACTATTCCCATTGGTTCAAAACATGATTGTATCATTCGGTATTCTTTTGAATTCAACTACGACTCGATACGTATGTATATACGTATATCTATCTATTTGTTGGCGAGTCCGACGATCAGTTACGAATAAACGAGTTAAAGGAGTAGATCGAGATGGAAGAATTGGAGGGAAACGACCCCTTAATTAGATTCAATCTCCGATGCGAATGTTATTCGCGATAATACGCTGACTCTCGTCGAATGTATCGTAAACTACATGGTATCAATCTGCCGATCGATCTACACGACGATAAAATTTGTTAAACATTTTTATTTTTTATAACCTATTATCTTTATTTTTTTCTTGTCTTCAATGTTCAA